GAAATATTTAACAATAACTGATGCCCCATCACTGGTAAACATGATGTCTGAGCTTCAGCAATATGCCAGCAACTGACTTGGCGTATGTTTAAAAATTCACAGAGGATTCAACAAAACGTATACTGCGGAAGAAAAGGCTTACCAATTATATAGGATTTTTTTAGGAGAAACTGGCACTGCTTAATGAAACAAAACATGGCCTTTTGGAGATATTTTATTTGGTGGTATTTTTTGGAGATATTTCATTCAGTGTTAACTTCAGTGATTTTGGATGAACTTTTACAATGACAGAAAATAACACAGCCTATTATACAATGGGAATAGCACAAATAATTAACAGGCAACCAAGCATTTCAGATCACCACTAAGTCTGCCAAGGGAGGGGAAGGAAGGTATATTAAAAACTCATGCAATGTTAGTCAGTATGAAAAACCTGTTCATTATTCTCCTCTCATTTTAAAGACTAAGCTTTTTGTTAGTATTCAGTATGGAGAGTTATGTGTTAAATAATTCAGCCATTCTTTAAAATAACATTTGCCTTAGAAGAACAGAGCTCAGCAGCTGCCCTTCTTCCTTCCCTGGAAAAATCCCAAACCCACACAACTGGACTTTATTCCTCATCCAAAATAAGAGCACAGAGAAGTACCAAACAGAAATCAGCCTGAGCCAACGCAAAAACATCACAGAGCTCAGGAGGCAAAAAGATGGAACAGAAGAGAATAAATTCTGATACAAGCTTTCCACAGATGCTCAAAAACTGTCCTTAGGCCTTCCTAACTGATGGCCAGCAAGCCTTCTTTTAGGTGGCTAAAGTAAGAAAATAATTCCTACATCCTTTTCCCAAGCAAGGGAAAATAATAGTTCTAGCCAGCAAGAAAGTCGGTTATTAAGAGATTGCTAGCATAAAAATTAGACAGTCTGAGATATCTAGCAAAGGTATGATTTACAAGGCAGATAACAAAAGTAGTTTCACTGATGAGTGGGCATAGGTCAGAGAGCCGATTCTGCCATCAGAAGATCAGAGGCCATTTTTGAGATTTCCATTAAAAACACACAGGTTGGCAAACTGCAAGTGTTCTAAAACAAATGTAAGAAGTTGTTCGCTGTTTTGAAGTAACCTTTTAGAAAAAAGGATTGGAAGCTTCCAATCTTTAAACAAGCATTCAGAATCTATGAATAAGGTGTTTGGCTTTTACCTGCAAACTAATTCACTCATTGTCTGGGGCATGATCACAGGGCAACATACCTGTCCATGAAGTTTCCTGCTGGCCTGTTTCACTCCTCCTAATTAGCACTTAGCTTCGGTCCCTGCTCTGCCAACCTGTTACATGTAGAGGGATCAGAAAGCTGATCAGATGGAATGGAGCTGACTTAGCCGTATGGGAGTTATATCGGTAGCATCTTAAATGGATAGAAAATGATGCAGGGAAAAGAAGCGTTAGGGAGAAGCGACATAAAAGGGAAATCAAAAGGAATGTGGGAAACGGGCTATTGGATAAAGAGGATGCATGGAAAGGAAAAGAGGAAAGGAAAAGAGTACAAAGGGAAGAAGAGAAACAATAGTAAGAAAACATTGTCTTATATTTGTCTCTCACCATGGAGTTGTTAAGAGAATGGCAGGTTAATGCAGGGGGTGCGCAGGGGGGCACTATGAAGCACACATCACATCAAATCACCTACAAGCATTCCTAAATTATAAACAAGGCAAAAACCTCCATCACTTCCACTAAACATGCTCTTCTCACGATCTGTGAAAGCTTTCAGTCTCTGGAAAGGGAGGAAGGGGGAAGAAGAAGGGAGACCCCAGTCATTGCCTTTCAGTTGTCGTTGTGAAGTTAAAGCACTTGTATACCCTGGGCAACAAGCAATATAAGTAACTCAAGTAACTGGTGAATTAGTTAGGAATAATAATGCTCAGTTAGCATGACCTTGCAAAATAAACTAACCTGCACAGGCAGAAAACAATCTCCTTACTCAACATTGTTTCTACCATCACCAGCCACAGTGCAAAACAATTTCTGCTTCAGTACAAGTACCTTGCTATTCATAATATGAGTTTAGATAAGACTAACAGAAGAAAATAAACCCTATTATATCTAACTGAAACCCTAGATTTGGTATTAAAACTTTTTCACAAATCCCTTTTTATTAAAGCATGCCGATTTCTCAAAACTGAACTAATTCACAGGCACTTGATGCCAAATCTTTTCAAACCCAAGAGAAAAGTGAGAAAACCCAGAGCTCTTAGAAGCTAAAAGCATAATTACTATTCACAAATCATTTTGGGTATTTTGATTTCTATTATAAGTCAGAATTAAACCAAACTTCAAAACAACAAAATATTCTTTCTCCATCTGTGTCGACTTGCAGTACCAGTGTTGCCTATAGCTAGCAGGGAATATATCCATATACTCAGGCCTAGATGCCTGTGTCTAAGACCAGAGATCAAGAGGAGCATCTCTGAGTAAATGGAAAAAATACCACAGGAAAGACTTTCAAGCAGACTGAACTAATAAGCTCAACATTCTCTATATAAAATAGTTAACTTCTTCATTCTGCTTTAACTATTGAAAGTATGGAAAGTGTGGGTATTTTTCCCCCAAACTTTTCCTGTCTGTAAATGGTCACATTCCATTCATCCTCCTCTGCTGCAACTTTATCCTTCTTTGTGATTTCGCTCCAATTCCTGTCAACTTGTTTTTCTTCTCCTCAAAACGCACATGAGATTTCAGGAGCTCCCAAAAGATGTTCTTAAATTTCCCTGATCTAAAACTCAGCATCATTTCTGTCTCTCTCTTTTTCTGCAAGATCAAATATGTCAATAAAAATGCTTAAGAGTTGTTTTCTTCTGGATACGCCTTGATCTCTTCACTTGAGACAAACTGGTTTTATAAAGGTCTTTAAGTCTCACGATGACCAAAATTCAGGCCTCTACCCTTATCAACAATAGGTATCTTTCTCTGTGAAAAGATGTAATACATCACACATTTAACTGCAACTATAAAACAAAAATTATTTCAGTTAGTATTCTCAAGGGATCATTTATGCATTGTTATACTCTGTTGCCCTTGTATTGTTGCCTATTAATTTATGCCCTCTATACCACATAAAATAAAAAAGCAGTATATCAGCTATCTATATCAGCTTCACCCTTTTCCGTTAATGAGCTTGAGTACTTATTTCCCAATTAACAAGTCTACAACAATTTCTTTTGCTCTAAATATATTATTTATATTTTCTCAACTACAAAAGCCATTGAGAAAACTGCACATTGCTTAATCTAGGAAAATCAGTTTAATAACAGATGCAACAAACTTACATTCCATAAATCCTGAAATAATACTGAAATTTGAACATTAAATTAGACTTATATAAGTTATATAGAATCATTAAGGTTGGAAAAGACCTCTAAGATCATCGAGTCCAACTGCCAATCCAACACCACCATGCCCACTAAACCATGACCCTAAGCGCCTCATTTACACATCTTTTAAATACCTCCAGGGATGGGGACTCAACCACTTCCCTGGGCAGCCTGGTCCAATGTTTAACCACTCTTTCAGTAAAGACATTTTTCCTCATGTCCAATCTAAACCTCCCCTGGCACAACTTGAGGCCATTTCCTCTCGTCCTATCACTAGTTACTTGTTAGACTAAACAAATATATCCCATATTTTAAAGATGAAAAACCTTTATAAGCATTTATGCAAGAAAATGAGTTTTTTGTTGGGTTATAAATTTCTAAGTATGCTAAATCAGAAAATACAAGTTCTAGAAACACAAAACATATCCGATATTAATTTCCTGTAACAACAGCAAAGAGACACATTCTTCAGTAATTTCATTTCAAGTAGAAAAGGTAATTTCAAATTTAGCTGTACTAACTCTGCGTAGCTTAACCTCTAATATTCAGGAAAGTAGTTCTGAGAAGCCTTTACAATTGCTTTAGATTTTAACAATATTCGAAGGCCTCATCAGGACTTCTTATGAAAGTATGAATTTTCTTTACCCTAGTAGTTTTGCTCTGAATTAGAGTTATAGATTTAAGGAAAAAAAGAAAAAAAAAAAGGGTATGTGGTCTAATTGCTCAGTTATTTTGTGGTTAGCTGATGTAGAACTTGCAACAGAGAACAAAGATTAATCTTATTTCCAGATGGGAGTGTCATCACCCTTGCTAAGATCTACAATATAGGAAGCAGACCAGAAAAAAATGTTTTATCTGGAAAACTAAATACAAATGTTTTCTGTGAGTAACTGTAAGGGTAGAAATATCCATCAAATTTGAAATAATCAAAAACAATTCCCTGTGTTACAAACTAAGAAAAAAGTCAGCATGGATGATGTTACAATCACTATCTATGCCAATATACAATACACATTGCAGTGTATCCATCGTATCAGAGTCAACAGGAGCAGTAGTAGGATGGACGAGGCCATGCTACTGACTTCCCTTAAAGCCACCCTTCCTGCTTGAGAACCATTTATATTATTTTTTCTGGTTGTATGCAGTTATTCCGGTGACTTCTCCCCACCCCAGTCATACACCGTTATACTGCCAGACATGGCTCAAGAATATATCATGCTTTAATTGCACTAAAACAACACAAGTCACAAATTTTACTAAAATTTTAATGTGTGAACATCCTTGAGAAAGAAAAATAATCCCAGAGCTCAAATCAGTGGCTGAAAGATTCACAGAACTCATGCAGTCAGAAAAAATCCTTCCTTATTTAGCAGCACATCATAGTACACACACCAAAAAAAATATGAGCTGATTCCTGAAAACTACCACCATGGATTAATCTGAAGTCACACATACTACAAATTAGGTTGCAACTAGCTGAATTTAAGTAGTCTGAGGAACTGGAAAAATCAGAACCAACACTGCAAAGTAATCCTGACCGAAACAAAGATTAGGTAGTAGATGGGATGAGTGGGGAAGGAGGGTGAGAATTTCATTTGAGAGTGAAGGGAGAAAAATCCTTTTTTACACTACTTACTCCTGTAGGCTGAAATATCAGTCCATCCACTTCATGGCTAACTTCTCTAGCAAAGCTTCCTTCCAGGAGCTGTAGAACAAAAGGAAAATAAATCTTTTTTCCATAGAGAAATATCTCACTTAGAAGACTGCACATCAAAGCAGATTATACGCTACTACTGCAATCATTTGCTAGTAAACGGCTTATTTATGGTTTAATGTTAGAGCTTGGGAAATGTCAACATAGAAAGCTTCAACAAATTAGCAGTTTTTACAAAGGACGCTGAAGGCTCAAACAAGTTTGAGGGAGGTGAACGCTTACAGTATTATACAAGGAAAAAGCCTTTGTTCAAAAAGAAATATTGAGAAACAAAGATGATGCTATACACTAAAAGATGAAGAAAAATCAGTTCTGATATAGGACACCACAGTCATTTGTGGACAAATTAAAAAACACATTTGCCACTTTAACATGCAAGTAGCACTTACTTTAGATTGAAAATATGTACTGAAAAATATTTCAGGGCATCATTCAGAATTCATGTTTCGCAGACTCCCTAACTAGGGCGTAACCCAGTAACATAGCTACACTACTGTAAAACAACTGTCTGAATTAATTTGGATCTTGAATATTCTGTTTTACATTTTCCAAAGGTTGTGAATTCCATATGGAGGTGAATACATCCATCAAGATGGTATTTATTGGAGAAAAACCGTCTAACTAAACAAACTAATGAAACCAGCTAGTCGACAGTTACGAGAATTGACAATACACTTCCATGTTAAATTATGACTTGCCTAAGGAAAAGCAAATAACCAGTGAGAACTACTATTTGTCAAGTAACAGCAAAAATTAGAATTACCAAAATGCCTCTTTATTAATTTCAATTTATGTTTTACTGTAGAGATGAAGAATCTATCCTGAAGTTGTAGGTGCTTTTAGTACCATTTGAAAAATTTTGATGTATAAGTAACCACATGGTCATAAAACCTAGCAAATACAGAACTCAGTACATCAGTCAGTTTTAAAAGCAACATTTTGGCCTAGACTGTTAATTTTGTATCATTTCCTTTGTATAGTCCAACTTAACTCAATGACCCACTGACTAAATTATTCAAATCAAGTATCAAACTCTGCCCTCAGTAAACGGCAAAAGTATGAAAGGAGTTGGGACTTAACATTTGTACCTTCCTATGGGCTGTACAACCCAAAGCAATGCACTTAAAATGGATTAAAAGCCTGGTGGCCAAATATTTTAAACAATAATAATATAACATTATATTTCATTTAAACTTGTAGATGTCTGCACAGAATAACTGATCATTTTGCTATAAAAAACCCTAGCTTTTTTCCTTATCCGCAGTCATTAGCATATCTGTGCTTAAAACTGCATCTACAAACACAGCTTTCACTATTCAACTTCTAGATACAATTTAATTGAAAAACACACTCTATGAGAGTACTCTCAAGTGGTAAAATACTTTAAGAATATTTGATTCTGAGTAAGCAATCATCCAGCGACACACTATTTTTCAGTACAGAAAGCCCAGACTTGGAATGTGAAGTTGTAGCTTGCATTTACCTGTTACGATTTTGAAATTTACAACTGAGGCTCACGATCCTTTACCAGATGTCTATACCAAATAGGAAAAAAAAATAATCCACAATTCTTTCAGAAGTTCATTGTTAATCTTTGCTTCAGCAGAAAAATGAGTACAGTGGCAAATATTTAACCAAATGTTAAAAAGTTTAAAAAAAAATGTTAAAAATTTCTACACAAGCTAAACCTCCTGTGGACCCCTTGCAAGGTTCCTGCACAGTTCCAAAACCGACAGGCCAGTGAGAAATCCATAATAAGGATACACTTGATATTTGTATCAACACATGGAAAAGATTTCATTAAATTCAAGTACCAAAAAAACTTTCTCCAAATACAAAAACCTACACCTTTAAAAATAAAAGACAAACTTCAAATTAGCTGAGACTATACATTTCTAGCTATCTTATTAAAAGGCACTAATCAAATTGGTGAACAGAAACCAATCATGTCCGTTTCTGCTTATCTGAAGTTCTTAAAGGAATTTGAGGACATGGCTACCTCAGTGTTGGAGCTTACATAAATGGCATTACTTACCCTTTCCCAAAATAAAACTTAAGAATATAGAAACAATCTTTTAATTTGGAGTGTGTGACTCACCCAGGTAAAGCATAAAATTATTATCATGCACTGTTTTACCTGTAGCTGTCTCCACTCTGGTCTACATGTAGTTAAACTACATTAAAGCACTATTACGACTTCATAAATGGAGGGAAAATGTAAATTCAAAATTTACCATTTAAAAAAAAATAATCCTGGTATTCCTTTTTACTCACTACTCCACTGGAATTATAAAATGCAAGGGAATCCCTCTTAGCAACCTGACATCCAGTTCCGGATTTGAACTTGTTCTCATTTTGGAGGTCCACAGTATTCTTATTAAGACATCTCCTACCAAATGTCAATTAGATATCAAAGATAAAAGAATTTTAAAACCAGAACGAGACTCAACAGATAACTAAACCTCTTTGTGCTCCCAGTTATTCTGCTTTCATTCTCAGTTATTCTGCTTTCATTCTCATTAGGTCCATTACAAGTATTTAAATGATAACATTCTAGAAAAGAATTTTTTCTAGAAAGGATTAGCAATTTGGGGGAGGGGGAGTAAGGTGGGAAGGAGGGAATGGAAATTTTCTCTGAGCTTCTTCCCATACACACTTTCTTGAGAATTAAACTATTTAGAGGTTGTCGGTGAACGTACCCATTGAATACTGCAGAAAGTTTGGAATGACAGGAGAATGAGCAGAAAAGGAATGTTTGACATATAAGCAAATATTTTTGACACTAAAAATATAGTTGATATAAGGTTTTTATGTTCATGAACTTAAAATGCAGATATCATGGTTCCTCTTTTAAAAAATGATGTTCAATTTTCCACACATATTAAAATTTCTAATTAACTTGAACAGTACGGTCTTTTTTAATCGGCACCATGATAAATGGCACACCTGCTTGACTGGGATGACTGCCAGGGATCAGATAAATTGCAATGCATCTCAATGACATTTTATAAAAGATGGGTAAATGATGCATGCAAGCCAATTCTTCTAGCATGCTATTCCTTGTAGCCTCGTTGCATCTATTTCCACCTGTGAACCCCTTTGTTCACTTCTTGGAGCTTCCTGCTTCCCTGTGAACATTGCAATAAACCACATACTCATACTACAGTTTATTATTTAAAACTTTTCCTTTCTTACTTTGTAACTAAATCAAATTAAAAATTATTGCTACATCTAATAATATCCCTCTAAAGCAAAGAATGGTATAATCGCATGGAATGAGTGGAGCTGTACGACGAGGAAAAGGATTTCTCCTTGTTCTTTAACCACTGAGCTGAGGAGCCGCAGTATGCCACCAAAAGCAGCACTAATAACCTGCTGAAGCTGATTTCGCTAAAACACTGAACCAGTCAGCAGAGTTTCTTGAGCGGATAATTGAAAAATCAGGCTTATGAGATCTCTCTATACTTATCAATGAAGAAACCACTTGGCCCCTCCAGCAAGAGGAGGAGAAAGTTTTGGTGCATACAGATTTCACATAACGCTAGTAGGTTTTATTAATGTTTCTGTAATTCTGAGGCCACATGATTCTGACGAGTTTTCAGATGTCACTTTATTCATAAAATAAATAAGTCCAGTAGGTAATACTGTGCCTTTTCCTTCCCCTTACAAAAAAACCTCATGAAACCACAACATGCCTGTGAGAGTTATGCAGATTCCAAAACATAATAATGTCTCTGCAAAGTCATATTGACTTTCTACAAAATAATTTGGCTAAGGTCCTTGCATGCAACTATTATCAATCTGCTATGTCACAATATGCAAAAATTCCTAACCATTTTGTCCATATTTCTGATCCAAAACTGATACCACTTGTTAGCCTAGTGAAATACTTGGAGATAGAGAAAAAAAAAGTCCCTTTGCATTTTATAACACAAGAGAAATACACATCCGTTTTCCTTGCTTTTCCAATTTCAGAACTGCTATAAGCTTCATTCAGTTTCAAGTCAAGGTACAGCAACTCTGCCTGCACCAGTCCCTAAGCAGTTTTTCAGAGCCACCTTCAAATTACTGATCATCTACCTGGTCACTCCACAGCAAAAGCTGCGAAAGGGAACATATTTTACTCAAAAGTATTAGTTACAAATAAACTACCAATCAAATTGTCAGTTAACTAGAATGTAAACCACCTTCAGACATGAGCATAGTGTCATTCCTAACTTCACAGAGCCAGCATCTTCACTGACTTAGATTTCGGCCCAACTCACAGGACAATCCCTTCCTCTGATGATGACAGCCCTCACCATCAGACTACAAAGTAATTCTCACACCCTGACAGCTGTCAGGTTTTACAGACATGGGCTCATAAATCTCTACAGATATTGCAGATTCTTTAAACTTATTATACAGTCTTCAGAAAAAGATTCAGAAGTTACCAGCACTGATAACCACCTTTTTTAAAAGGAAACAATTATTCTGGCTCTTTCCTTGCACTCCGTTAAAAGAGATGGACTATCCTGCTTTTAAAACAGGGTATCACTCCTGTTTTATTTTTACATGAATTTGTTTCATCTTGCTTGCCAGTTTCTGTGTTTTTCTATTTTTACATGACAACCTTCTCAATAGCCCTGACTCATCTCCATACACACTCTTTCATGAGATCTTAATTATCTGAGTTCAATATAAAAATTATTTAATACTCGTTGCTGATGTATTTAAGACATCCCAGAAAAAGTTTTACATCCAAGTGGGAGGTACAAATGTTTAACAACACTCAATAAAACCTACCTGAATTTAATGTGTCTGTGAGAAGTGTTCACCATATTTTTTTGCTAACTCACAAGACAAAAAAATTCATCTCTATCTACTACACACAGTAGTCTCTGAAGAAAGGATCTATGAATCACAAATCCAGCTGAAGGTCTGTGTAACAGAACCAGTATTTCTATTGGGTAGCCTCCCTGGATTTAAGTTTAAAACAAACAAATAAAACA